GTTGGGAAGATCCCCTGGAGAAGGGAAGGCTACCCACTCCAGTATTCTGGCCTAGAGAACTCCATGGACTGTATAATCCATGGGGTCGCAAAGAGTCGAACGCGACCGAGCAACTTTCACTTTCACACTTTAAAGACGTAAAGGAAACAGCAGAAGTGTTCAAATAAAATGTATTATGTGGCTGATACATTTGATTCTAAAATGTTCCATATGGAAAATTATAATGTTAAATATTTATTAAGTACTGTTTATTAGTTACCGGATCTTATAACGTTTATTCAGAGTTAATCTTTTTTTGTTTTGAAGCTTATTTCATTAATTCATTCCTATAGCCCTGATTACATCTGATTACTTTCTCCTTTTTTTTTTTTGCCAGTAAACCTGCTTTATTTCAAGGATAAAAAAAAAAACACTACAAACACCAAAGTAGGAAATAAAAGTTATCTATAATAGAAATACCTTTGCCTACTTATTACTCCCAGGGTATTTCTGATGCAATTGGCAAATAGACATCCTTTCCTCAAGGCAAAGAAAAGTAAACATATCTTTCTTTTGAATTCCACACGTTTCAGGCTGCCCTAAACTGATCTTTCACTAACAATTTCCCTAAATGGTGTTTGTAATCTGATCTGAGATGTAAGGAGAAGCAATGAGAAGTGTTCCAGAATGAACGATGAGAAGTGTCCCAGAATGAACGATGAGAAGGTGAGGACCAGAATCACACTGAAGAGAACAGATACAAGCGAGGTTCAACCTGAGATGTAACAGAGCTAGCACGGACCCTCCAGTTCGGCCCTACCCGGCGCTGCAAGGGCCAGTCTTCCTCCCCACCCTCCCTCCATCACTTCACTGCAGGTGGGCAGCTCCAGGAAGGCTTGGAACAAAGGATGTTTGCAGTTGCAGTGGTCTGTGAAAACCAAGAGGTTTTTTTACAGAGGACTAAACTGTCAAATTCATCACTAAATTATGCACAGAGCATTATATGCCACATTTCTATACATAAAAGTTTTGTTTTTAAGTGATTTTATGTGTGTTCTGGGGCATTCTGTTCCCTACAAATATGTTACAATATACATTAATGTCGCCCTTTTTTCATCTTCAATAAATCTCAGTGCGAAATGCGTTACACTGATCAGGGCTGGCAATAACTATGTGGTGTAAACTTTATTTAGAAAGTTGATTACCTCCCTGATTCTTCATTTGCTAATTTTACTTGAAAGTGTCCAGGTATGTTAATCACCTTTAAACTTCCCATTTAAAATGCTGTGGACAATATTGGGAACATAATTTATTTGTCTATATGGATTAAGAGTTATGTTTTGTATCATGCTTCCCCCATCACATACCACATTCTGGCCACACTGTTCTTTCTGTTTTGTATACTTCCTATGCTTCCTCCCACTCGGGGGTTCTCACATTTGTTTCCTCTGTCTTGAGCACTCATCCCAAGTCATAAAATCACCTGGTTGACCCATTTTTCTCCCTCAGGCAATGCCATTAAGGTCATCTCCTCAATGTGTACACGTGTGATAAGGCGCTCAAGTCATGTCCAACTCTTTGCCAGACTCCCCTGTCCATCCACACAATTTAGGTGATCCCACCCTGCCTAAACCAGACTTCCTTTAATATTAACTTACTATCTTGGTAACTCAATTATCACAGATGATCTTGTTCACATATTTATCTGCTATTTACTCCTGAATCCCTAGCACATAGCAGTTCTCGGAACTCAAGCATTCAGTAACTACTCGTGTGAAAGAATGAAAGTAGGCAACAAATAAATATTTACAATTTATAATATTTTAAATATACACTGGCAACTACAACAATTGCAAAATTATTTGGGGAAATCAATTCGTCCTACATTTCTGAAAAACAAAAACATGAATAAAAGAAAACTTTTAACATCACAACTTTTATTAAACAAGCTCTCTAGGACTGTTTTTATCTGGGTTTTTCTAAAGGGCATAAGAATGTACAAAATGAGTAGGTTTCTGTTTCCACAAATAATTGTTTTTCAAGGTAACAACAACAAAAAAAGATTGACTATGTGGGAGTCATTCTATCTTCTGGCTGTTAAAATATTAAAAGAAAAAAATGGTGAAAATTCTTAAGAGTAACATTTCCAATTTTACATGAAAAACAAGCCTGTTGATAAAGAAAGTCTGTTGAAGAGAGGCAAACAAAAACAAGCTATAAATTAGGTCACTAGACTTACAACAATATTTTTGCAAGATGTTTTTATAATTTTTGGCTAGCTTTTAGGATTGGAATATAAGATGTCCCAGGAGATTAACTGAGCACAGGAATTCAACCTCTGACAGGGTCAAACAGAATGTCCTTTGCGATCCTGGCTGAACATGTACCCGCATACTCATGGATCATTCCATTTATCTAAATCTATGGTTTCAATGAGACGTTATTTTATTTTTAATTAGGTATGGTATTAAAACTCTAGTTTTCAGTGGCATGTATTTCAAGTTATATGATTTTACATACATATGTTCTCTTTTTTTATTAAGGAAAAATTATTTTATTTACCTAAAACTCTCTTTCTAGTAGCTTTCTCTCAACTCTGAAGTCTATTCTAGAAATCTGATTTTTGTAAGATACCATGTTTACTCTAGCCAAGACCATTTATTTTCATGAGAACTTGATTTTTTTTCAAGCATCATCTCCTGAGATTAGTGAAGAATTATAGGGTATATGAAAACCTGGTCTAAGAAAATAGGTTTTCTTATAGAGGCCAGAGACATAGTAGCAACCAGGACTGATGTCAGAAACATAAAATCATAAGCAGTATCTGAAGAACTGATACAATTAAAAGAAAGAAAAGTACTGTAGTACAAGTGAACACAGATAAATCCTAGTATTATTTTTAAAAACACATTTGGCATGCCAAATTTTAAACAGTAATCACTAATGGAAATTAATGTTAGTTTCTCCAAATTATGAGGCAGTTTCCCTATCCTACAATGACATTAAAATCAAGAAAATCAGGGAAAATAAAAATGGAACCTTGATTGAAGACAAATATGCTTCAGTAATAATTTTCACACAGAGCCTAATTCTATGTTTTGTCCCAACCTATTCTTATGTTGTTTCTCACAGAAGATATATAAAATAATGTAACAATGCACAGAAAAAATATGTATCTTTGTCATATTCTATGCTCACATTTTAGCAATCTCACAAAATTAAAAAAAAACGTATTCCAAATTAAATATCAAGAGAAATATTTATTTTACCCAAGTGGTACTGTAAAGTCTTAGTTTGTTACTAATTTCAAGGAAACAGAAAACAACTACAAAGCTAAGTTAAAGGCAACTTTATTACAATACTTTTCCAAACTTCAAAATGCATTCATTATTGAATTTAATCTAATATATAATACATTATATTACAAGATAGAAAGCATTTCTGGTCAGATATTTAGCTTGCATGTATCTCCCAAAACAAAGATTCCTAGAAAGAGCAACAACGCACAATTATTTATATCACTAAGTAAACTATTTCTCTGATGTCACTTAAAGAATCATTCATGTTGCAATTTATTTTATGTTCATTTACCCTGTTTCAGAAATAAAACAAAGCTATCTTGTCTACATGTTACTAGTTAATACCTAGAAGTTGTTTATACCCTAAATGTATCCACCAGTTTAGAGATACTTGCTTTGGTAGAAAATAGGATTTTTAAACTAACCAAACCAAAAGAGCAGTTTATTTCCCCACTGCAAATAGGGGCAGAATTCTCTTCTTTCCTTTTTTAGGAGCCAAATCTGGGCCTCCTGCTCTTCAGACAGCCATCCTCAATAGCTCTTCCTTTAAAACATATCCAAATTATAACAAACTCTATTCTAATAAAGTCATTTCTATTTTATCTTGTCTCTATATTTGCTTACTTAGAAGCGTTTACAACCCACTTTGAACATTACATAATAATGAACTTAAAAGTAACCTTGGGAAATGTAATAACATAAAGAAAGTATTTTCCCAATTACACAAGGACATTATTCGCTCATCCACCTCTGCTTCAACCAACCAACCCAACTTCACTTACGAAAAGAACTCCTTTTCCAAGGTTACTCCCATAAAAACAATAAAAACACATGTAAATCCATTGAATCAATCTAGCTCCTTACTGTTCTCTCTTGGTTTAACATTTGTGGGCTACCAAATAGCACAAAACATGTTCATCCTCCTCGTTTTTGAAACAGCAGGAAATGGTTAGAAAAGTATAGAAAGGTTCTATTTTTTCTCTCATAAGGCAAATTTAATACAGATTTGGCTAAGAAGTTGGACAAAAAGAACAAGTGAATGAAAAGGTATGTGCTGCCTGCTGGGGGGAGGGGGGGCAAGCCTCAGAAATCACTGTACGTTAAGAGCACGTGCTGAAACTTCATGGTGCCAGTCACGTAATTTTGTGTATTTGGGACTAAAGACGTGAAGGGGTATCTTTTCCCTGTGGAAATAAAAAGAAAAGAAAAAAGAAAAAGAGATTGATAGAAGAGTTGTAAGAAAGAGAAAGAGAAGTTTCTACATTTAGATCACCATGCAGAAAACATGCCTTCTAAAAGCTTAATCTCACAGAGCTGTTTGATTTAATAGCAAAGATTTTAAGGGTAGAGCATTTTTAGAAATATGGAAATTAATCTATAGAGCCCTCTTGGAAACTTCAATCTTTGTTCCCCAAATAAAGCAACTGCAAGACACATGAACTCATTCACAGAGATCTGCAGTGTTAGCAAAGCACCCCCAAATATACCCTTCTGCCCACTTACTTCGATACTGAAGAAAACAGGCCGCAGACAAAAAATGCAGACATTATCAACTAAATTAAAAACCTCTAAATCATGTATTTAAGTACCAAAAATGGCACCCAAGTTAAGCCCCTAGTTGTAGACAAAATGCCATACTATTCCCTTGAAAAGGTGAAAAACGAAAACAGAGACCATCCATGAAAGGAAAGCATTCAATTCACAAAAAAATGGACCACTTACTTTGCCTTCTTTGTATTATCAGCTTCAGACTCTTTCACTGAAATAAAATAAGCAATGTCCAATGTCAGTTAGCTTTTTTAACTTTTAAGCAATTACCTTTATCAATTAATACCAAACGGTTAAGTTACCAGAGCCACTAAAAAATTCCTTATCTACTACTGTTATTGACTGTACTATAGTCAGTACTACAACTATTAATATTTCTGTACTTTTTTAACGTAACTCTTCTGGGCTGGTTGCTTATTTATAGTACCACTATTTACAGTCTCACTAGGCATAATTTAAAAGCAAACTGTTTCAGGAATATTACTATTTCCCAGTAACTGTCCAGTTAGACTACTGTCCAGTTAGACTGTCCAGTTAAGACTACTGTCCAGCAGTCTAAATGCTACTCTCCGTGGCAAAAAAATATTCATCCATTAGAATCCCTAGCTATTTACTTACGATGTTCAGTTCCAGTGATCTGGGCAAGGATTCGGAAAGAACGAGACTGAGTCGTTCCAGTTCTCGGACGCCAGTCTTCAGTATCCTCAATCAGTCTCTTCTTGCTGGCATCGCTGTGAGTAGGTATGTGATAAAACTCAGTATTACGATCCATAATGTGTTTTCTTGGTGGGCTAGGGTTAAGAAAGAAAAAAAAAAATTAAAATATTTTAAATTACATTAAGGCTAAAATATCCTCTCCCATATTATTTACAAGTTATACATTTAAGCCTCAATATTCCTTTTGTATATTTTGCTTTTTTCAAGTATGTGTGACATATGTGTGTGTGCTCAGTCATGTCTGACTTTCAGGTATACTCACATTTTTTTCTTTAAAAAAAGCATCCTTTTAAAAAGTATACTAGGCTTTTTAAGTTTAAAAAAAAGGTACTTATATGATAACATAAAATTATAGTATAAATGTCTATTTAACAGAAAGGTTACCGTTTGGGTGGGATTTTCCTTTTAATTGACAGAAGAAGGCAGCAGAAGAGATTTCCAACATGAAGAAAAGGAAAAGAAAAGAATAAGAAGGAAAATAATAAGAAATTGCAAAGTCCACAGTAATTATAATCAAACAATTCAAAATTACTTGTATTATCCATCCTCTGGCTAACAAAACAGATATGAATTATATTCCCAAGCATGGTTAAATACCCCTATGCTGCTAAAATGTGTTGGCTTTCACAAAATTAAATGATCATGTCATCACTAGGGCCAAGAACCAGGAATAATTTGGTACAGGCTAAATCAGCAATTCCAAACACAATTTTTGAAAAGGATCAGAACTGTTATTTTCTATAGTATTCTCATTTATGTGTACAGATATAGCTCACCCTAAACAAAGTTAGGTGCAGGACCATCAATGTGAAGAGATGTAGTTGTGAAGAGATGTAGTGTTATACAAATGAACTGGACACAAATGAAATATTTTATCAAAAGGCCAAGATACAAATCGTGGCTCCGTGACTTTTCAAATATGTAATTTTGGACAAGTCAATCTGAGTCTCAATTTTTTCACTTATAAAATAAAAATATCATGCACAAAGTAGCACTGTCTTCAGGATTAAATGGAATAATATATATGAAAGGAATTTGCAAACTACAGAGTTCAAGAACCTTGAGTTTGCTAAGAATATTCATTTTTCTATTATGAAAGCATAAATATTAAGGAATTTACAATGTACATTATTTTAACACTTCAAGATCTAGGTAACTTTATAAATACTCCCCCTTCTCAACATCTCCAGGCAAAATAGGATAAATACTAATGAATTTTGAGTTTCAATTCAGAAGAAGAGAAATAGGAACCTGAGTATGGACTAGCAGATACCCAGTACGAGATCCAAGCAGAGAAGTGCCCTCAGAGAGTCAGATATGCATGGCAACACCTGTTAGATTAACTCACTGCTAGGAAATCACACTGCTATCAGAATGCCACACAACTGCTGTCATTTTAACAGGGATACAATCAAAACCTGTCACAGTACACATTTCTGCCCCAGCGACATGACAGAATCAACGTTAACACTAGCTGTGCAGTCAGACAATAGTTCTAAGCATACATCTTCCACTCAGTGTACATTTTATGCAAGTCATTTAACTTCTCCAAGTTTCAGTATCTCCCTTCTAAAAAATGGGGATTTTATCTACCTTAAAGGGTTGTTTTGAGAAATAATAAGATAGGTAAAGTAGGCAAAATGCTTCCCGGAGTAGGTAACAAAAAGTAATCACATAATGGTGTTCTTTTATGATTACTAGAACAATTATCTGCAATGCATATTCAAAGACTATAAATCATCTAGGGCTTCCCTGGTGGCTCAGATGGTAAAGAATCTGCCTGCAATGCAGGAGACCCTGGTTCCATCCCTGGGTTTGGAAGGGAATGGCTACCCATTCCAACATTCTTGCCTGGTGAATTCCAAGGACAGAGGAGCCTGGTGGGCTATAGGAATACATATATTTACAGATGTATATAAATCATCTATATATACATAACAGAATAGTATTTATATATAATACTAATAATAGCATTTAATACTATTAATATTTAATGATTATATTTAATAGTAATTCAAATTATTATTTATGATAAAATTCAATAACCTGGAAGTGAAATACCTGAAACACCTTTTATTAATAGTGAATAAAATCTCCTAGTTCTTTTATAAATAATTTTTTAAATTAGAAAATAACATTATTTCATAAATACATTGTCTTTGACAGATTCCTAAACAGACAACACCTTATCTTATGCAATTATTTGAAAAACTTTATTTTTAAGCTACTAAACTTATAGTTTTAAATTTCTCTATAATCAGTAAATGTTGTTTACTCTTAAATGGTGCCAGTTGCAGGTATTTTATCCTCTATAAAAGGTCTGGATTATAAAAATACAAAGAAAAAAATGTCTAACTAAGACATTAAGATTAATAAAATGACACCACTTAAGAATATTTTTTAGCTACCACACACTTGAAAAAGTACAGCACATCTTAGACTCTGTGACATTCACCGCAGCTTAAGTTTTATGTCAAATGATAGAAAGTTTCTAAACATTTACTGGCTTTGACACTCTATAGACTCTTATGATTATGATTAAATAAGGGAATAATATGAATAATTTTATTTTTTAAATTCATTTGGGATAGAATATAAACTTAACTATCAAGAGCAAATAATTTATTTCAAAATAGACCTTAAAAGTAGCAAGTTTATTAAAATTTTTCAAAAATATTAAACAAGGAAGGCCCCACTACATCTCTGACTCTAGTATCTGCTGTCTATAATACCTATCCATCTTCCTGAAAATTTAGACAAGTTTTTCCACTGCAGAAGTGTGGGTTTTCTAAACACACCCACTAATTCATATGAAGTTCTCTAACGTGAAAAACAAGTTTCCTAGTTTCCTCAGCATATCTGAAAATGCTAAGTAATGAGAAGACACTAATAAAATTTGCTGACAGTGTTAAGTTGAAAGCCAGATGAAAAGTTACAGAGAGACAATGATGAAAACTAGAAAGAAACCACTGATTAGGTACTTACACGGTGCCAGGGTTACTGAAGGAGGAATAATACACACAAAAAAAGATGTGATAGAGGGGAAAAGACATTGAAGTTCCCAGGATGATGGAAAACATAGATGAGGCCAAAAAAAGAAGAAAAAAATGAAATAACAAAATTCAAAACACTGAATTTACATGAAAATTAAGATGTTACACTGAACATCATGCTTCAAAATAATTATGTAAAAGGCAGACAAACAAAAATAAACAAGTGTTAGTTGAAATTCTATTATATTGTTATTATTTGGATAACAATTTTATCTGCGCTGCTTGTTTCCAAAAACTCTGAAAAATAATTTGTGTGTTAATGCTAGATCAAGCCTCAAGTTACTAATACCAAGAGAAAAAGATCTAATATTTAAAATATTTTCTTTGTTGTTGTTGTTTAGTTGCTAAGTCGTGTCTGACTCTTTGGCAATCCCGTGGACTGTAGCCCGCCAGGCTCCTCTGTCCATGGGATTTCCCAGGCAAGAATACTGGAGTTGGTTGCCATTTCCTTCTCCAAGGGATTTTCCTGACCCAGGGATCGAACCTGCATCTCCTGCATTGCAGGCAGATTCTTTACCACTGAGCTACCAGGAAGCCTCAAATATTTTTTTCTAGGTTTCTATAAAATTTATTTTATCCTACAATGTGGCTAACAAAAGTCAGAGATTAAAATATAAATTAGATGTCAGATGTAGAAACAGATCATTTTAAAATCACTTTAGAGCAGACTAAGAGAAAATCTTTCATTCTCACATAATATAACAAGTATATATTAACAAGTATAGTCTTCTCAGATGAATTATTATGAACCATACATTACAAAGTAATGATACACTTTTGAAAATTTCTTATTTTTTAAAATGTAGTGACTGTGATGAAAAACATATGAAGCAGTGGGTCATTAATAATGGGCTATTACTCAATTTTCATACTCTCCCCTGTCGATTATTACCACTGCCCTCATGCACAAGCAAATCCCAGGAAGTTCAGAACTGATTTATAGGAATTCCAGAGTACTATATTAGCAGCAGCATAATTACTGCCCAGAAAGGCATGTCTGATATATGGCAAAAGAACTAGGTTAATAACATCTAAAGAGGGAAAATAAAATTCATTCATATAGCCTATTAAGTATCAAACCATTAAAAACAAATACATTCACATTCCATTATATATAAAGAAGACAAGTATTAACTCTATATAGTTTCTCAACACATTGCTGAATCAATTCTATTACAATAAAGTTTAGTCAGAGTAAGTAAAAATTCATTATAAATGTAGTAAGAAAAAGTGCCTACCACTTTGAATGCTAAGACTGTACAGTGAAGCTAAGCTGTATTTCCACACTGAAGTCAGTGTCATAAACTCAACAGAGAGCTGAGTTTTGCTGAGTGGGGGTGAGACACGGGATTAAATTAATCTCACTAATTTATGGGTGTTTACTCTTCTCTAAGCCTTATTATTCAATGAAAAGTACTCTCTCCTCTGCCTTGACACTTCAAATAGTAGAGAAACAGTTCTCTAAAATAACCTCCTCTGACCAGAATGAAATCTTAGAAACATATTTGAACACTGCAAAGTTTGAGAAAGAAGTTTTATGTCAAAATGAAGTTGTGGGGGTGGAGGTATTCTATGATGTGGTGAGGGGTAAGCAGAAGAGGGTTGATTGGTTAAAGTCTAAAGGTGTCAATTTTAATATGCTGAAAAGGTATTTTCATGAATTTTAGAAAGTGTGCCCAAGTGGAATAGCCCATCATACAACACAGTGGCATCTGCACCATGGGGCAGTCAGACTGACGTGGCTTTTCACCCTGACTATGCTGCCCGCTTCCTCTATGCCTGGACAAGCTGCAACCCCCAGGAGCTTCTCTTCCCTCCACAGTGAAACAGATTATATTCTCTCTTTGGATAGAGATGTCTATCCAATGGATACTTCTCTATCTTTCAGACTTCCTGTAGGGGCATATGTTTACATGCTCTTGAAAGCACTTTGATAACTATACAAATACAAATTTGTTGTTAGAACAGATCCTTCAGCTGCTCAATAAAAAAAAAAAAAAAGTACCATTAAACCCAACTGTAGTTTATGCACATTATTCATTCATGTAGCTTCAATTCACTCAGTTTATCAAAACTATAACCATAAAAACAAACACTAATTCAAAGTAACAGAAATAAGTTCAGGTCACAAACAGGTGACAGAGCAAGAAACACCAAAACTTAGCTTCAAAAATCCCTAGGCTCCAATCTTAGCTCCATCACTCACAAGCTGCATGCTTAGGAAATTAAGTAACTTCTCAAGGTTCAAAGTTTAAATGAGAATTCAATCATGTACTGCAGTTAAAAACATAGAGCACAATGCATAGTAATATTTAGTAATTTAATGAATATTATCCTTGAATTTTAAAAAATATACATTTAACCTAAATGTGGTTATTTTTTCAAGTCCCATTTTCCCCCCTTACAGGTCAAATTATTACACTGGTATCTTATGTGAAAGCCTTTGTTTAACAAGAATTTAACTTTAAGTAGACAATCAGTAAATCAGGGCTTGGGGATGTTTCTCTAGTGCACTGGTGTGTAATATTCTTATATGACTGTAACATGTTCCTTGAAGTGAAGTGCAATGAAGTGAAAGTCGCTCAGTCATGTCCAACTCTTTGAGACTCCATGGACTATACAGTCCATGGAATTCTCCAGGCCAAAATACTGGAGTGGGTAGCCTTTCCCTTCTCCAGAGGATCTTCCCAGCCCAGGGATCGAATCCAGGTCTCCCACATTGTGGGCAGATTCTTTACCAGCAGAGCCACAAGGGAAGCCCTATTCAATTAGTGAGATCATAACCATACATGAATAAAGTTGCTCTAATTTAATAATAATTATTATTATTCAATAGCTAATTCCCTCAAGTGTGTCTAAGATATTCCATATTTTCAATTCTATTCTACTCTAGAGTATGATGATTGGAAATTTCAGCATATGCTCAGAATAATCATAACACAAAATTAAGTTCTTGTCTAATGTGATTTTTATCAACTTTAAAGCTAGTAATCACTAGTTTATCATCAATACCAACAGACACAAAGTTTTGACATTGTGATTTCCAATGTCTATGCCAACTACCTGTGACACAACTAATTGCAAAGGTGTACAGACCTTCTATCAGCCAATGACACACAATTGCACACATAGAATTCTACGTCTTTCAGCAACACTGGCTGAGAAATCAAAAAGGTTCTTAGAGATTTTACCTGGGAAATACTGGGTTTTGATATGAATTTGGAAGTTAACTCAGTTTTATAATATAGACTATTAACTAGTGGCACATGTATTTATGCCTTCTCTTCTGTCTTTCTCGTCTAACAGTCTTGACTGCTACAGATTACCTGCAACATAACCTCTTTTAAACTGTTATACAGCAAACCCCACATATACTTCATAACAAAAGTTAAACACTACTATTTATTACCATAAAGCAATTCACCACAACATAGCAATGCAAACAAAACTTATTGAAAAGACTAAATGTGGTTATTCTAAATTACAGCTCTTTTGCAAAATTTAACTTAATTTTGCAAAAATCAGGCATTCATGCTGTTTACTCATATATAAATCACCATATTTCCTCTCCAGTAATGTGGATACTAACTTTGTCACTTTTGTTTTCTGCAAAGAGAAAAGCATTTAAAAATATTACTACCATATCATATTTTGTATCTTCCAAGGCCAGGTTCATCAAAATACCACATACGAACTGTTAGAAGAGACTGCAGTCCAATGAAATTAAAATTAATAAAGAATGTATGAAAGACTTACCTCTTGAAAGCAGTGGCACATTATAATGCAAGAGCATATGGAAAGGAAAAAGGTAAATCACTCAAACTACTTGATGCAAAATAGATTCCTTTCTAGTCTGGAATATAAAACTCCATTTGCTCTAAGTAGCAGCAGAGTAAGGAGAGTAGTAAAGAAAATGGTAAGCCAAGACTACAAATTCATATATGAAGAAGATGGACTAAAAATTTCTAAAAAGTGCCTCGTTCCATTATTATTTGTAAGAAGGAACAGGAATGCTAGCATAGTATTATTAATATTCTAAAAATATCAACATAGTTGTTAGATTTCATACTATTAGGATAACTATTTCTCAGTAATGATGCATAATTCATAAGCACTTGTTGTGTCTTATGTTTATTATAAAACTAAATAAATTTGAGTGGGACACCTATAAAAACCAATAGTCCTCCTGCTTTGAATAAAAACATAATCTATCCATTTAACTTTATATTTTTGTAAACTCCTAAATTTCTGGTTACTGGCAATTAGGATTTAAAATAAAGAGTAATAAAAAGTAACAACTCTCAACTGTGAAAGACATTTGCTGCAATCATTTGTAACACTATAAAAATATGGAAAATTCAATAATCACACACTTAGTAAAAAGGCTGACAGTGATTTCAGGAAAAGAGTTTGACACCTGATGCAGGAAATATATTCATTAATACCACAAAACACCTGCTTTTCAAAATGACATCACTGACTAGTAAATAGTAAAATGTGAGATTTATTTTTGATTTCTCTGATCTAAATGTAGTAAGAGAAACAGCAGAAAGAGCACTGCAAATTAAAATGTCTACAGAATTTCACAAACACCACACTTTTGTTTTCATAGTAATCAAGTTTTCATTGTGCTAACACATCAGGTCAACACCTGAAATTAAGTTACTTTTAAATGCAATCAGTTTACAAATGCAAAGCAGTAATTTGCTTGTTAATGATGCAAAATATGTAACAGTCCCTTTCGTCCTGAATCTTGGACAGTGCAGGACACCAGACATGCGCTCAATAACTACATGTCAACTGACTAAGAAACCACTGTAAAGTCCCTGTAACTATATCACTGCCTACAAAGTTGAAAATAATAAGTCATTTCAGGAATCACCAAAGCTATACCTGTAAAACACAAAGTTTCAGCTTGGTGTTTTCAATATAATAGTTTTTTGTAACCTCAGTTTTGCTTTTATCTCTACAAATTTTCTATTAAGAAGCCTTCCTTATAAAATTTTATGAAATGTTAGGAAGGAGAAAAGATTTTAACTTAAACATTTCCTTCAAAAGAAGTGTTTTTTTCCTACTGAACCTGGAATTTAACAAACAAAATAAACTTTTGTTTTTAGTCTTCCATGAGACTAGCATTTGACAGGCAGCATCTGTCTTTTCAGGGGGCTTCCCAGAGGGTCAGCAGTAAAGAACCCGCCTGCAACGCAGGAGACACAGGCTCGATCCCGAGGTTGGGACGATCCCCTGGAGGAGGAAATGGCAACCCTCTCCACTATTCTTGCCTGGGAAATCCCATGGACAGAGGAGCCTGGCGGGCTATAGTCCACAGGGTTGCAAACAGTCAGACACAATTGAGCACACACACTTCTGTCTTTTCAAGATATCTACTTTGATTACTCTAAAATCTATTGTCTTAAAATAGACAAATCAGAAAAATGACAACCAAATGCACCTCAACGCTACATACTATATATCTTCCTCATATGAAAGAAATAACTTTCTTTGAAAGGCACTAGTTTTCCTCAGTATATACATCAAAACTTTCAAGTCACCCACAACCACAGAACCACGCATAGGGCCCAGGAGCTGTCCTTCCAGACGTGCTCCTTTCTCTCAGCAGCAGCCTGGAACCCTGCCACCTTCTTTTTCAAAGCCCCCAAGTTGCCATGGGAGCAGTCCTATGAAAGCACAGCCCCTTCATTACGTGAATTAACATTCAGAAGGGATTATCTCAGAAAGGACCTAACTACACAGCTATTTTAATTATATTTTCCTGGGAACTGACATTGGTTAAAAACAATCACGCATGCAGATTATTTCCTTTTAAAAGACACTTTTGTCACAATAAATCTGATCAAAATGACTTTACAGAAATTTAAAGGATAGTCACTGGATTCCAAAAATAAAATAACCATCTATAAATGATGGCTACTGAGAACAGACTTCAATTTTTTAAAAATTTGTGCCACAAAAAATAGAGGAAAATTATAAGGAATGGATTCTCAGAAAGTTATTATAACATTATATATTTAGTGTCTACTGCTTTAAATCTATTCATTTTAGAAAAATGTTTACAATGAAAGTGTTCTCTAATTTGCTTCTGAAATTTTTAAGCCTCCATTAATGTTACTGTCCTCTCATTACTGTTTGCTTTTAAAGACTAAATTTCAGTGTAAGTTTATCTGAAAAGAATGTGGCTTAGCTAGCTGACCTAAGCTAATGCATCATACACAGACATGAGTCAAAAGTAAATTTGTTTTCTGTCTTCAGAATACTTCCTAGAAAAAAGCTTCTTACAAGCTTCTCATTTCCTCTCTCTTTAGCATGAGATACATAAGCTGACACAACTGCAACCATTCTATTTCAACTTTTGGTGACTCATAAAAGAATGGAAAAATTGAGAAAGAAGGAGTCAAGATTTGCCTTGCATTATAAGGGCCAGCTGCTCCACGTTGTTCCAGACTTGGAGAAAAAGTTACAGAGTCCGTTACATGATTCATAACAGGTCAAGATGCATAATTAGGTTTGGATTAACCTATAATTGCCTTGCAGAGAGTGCTGTATTGTATATAACATAAAGCTACATTACATGTTAATGAAGCAAATGAAACTTCATTTCCCTTCTTTCAGAGAACAGCTGACTTGGGGGTGGGTGGAGATTGTGTTGCCTGGAAATCACCTGAAAGAAGAGTTTGGTAAGAGCAGAAAGCACCCTCAGCCACCTACCCATTTTGCTGTTTACTGTCACCCTGGGATCCTCTTCGCTGTCCCTCCGCTAGCTCCTGGGCAGTCTCGGCACACACGCTGCTGACTGTGGGCTGCCGTGGGACATTAACTGCAGGTTTACCAGCGCTCAGAGCGGGTGACCGCTGGTCAGCACTAAGGCTGGTGTTAGCATGCGGTCCAGATGCAGTGAATGGGGGAGAGGTGACAGCGGCCACGGGTGGAGAGGAAGCATGTGATGAAGTGGTCGCGTGGGCTGGGGTGAAGGCAGACGATGGTGATGGGATGGATGTGACTTTTGGTGAAGACACGGAACCAAAGGGCCGCGGGGCCTTATTGTAGGCCGTGTTGGTTGTGGAAGTGACTTTGGACACAGCAGGAGATGGAATGGGCACAGGTTTGACTACTTCTTTAGGCTCTCCCTATGTAAAATAAAAACAAACACACACAACACGGCAAAGACATGCGAAACAGATCCACTGAAAAGAACACACGGCTAGTTTGTAAAAAGACAAACACAATTATGTTAGCAGGCCAAACTTCACACGTTTCCAGGTAAAAATAATGAGCTGATAAAATATTAGCATGCATGCTAACTGGTCTCAACATGCATAACACAGATGCACATACTGAGGAGATAAATTTTTTTTTAAAAAATGAAAGGAGTTCAAAATATTTAGGAAAGAGATTAGGAAAGTTATCAAAAAGCCTAAAGGCCAACATAAGTGCCGATTTAGACATATTCCAAAGGAAAAATTTTTTAATACCCCACAGTAAACAAAACATCACTAATCAAAACATTTATTTTAAAATATCCAGAGACTCAACTACAATTCCATCTTTTAAACACGTTTAATTACTCTCCAGAGTACAATTATTTGATTCATGCAGAAGCAGCTGGACATTTCTAACTCTTCAATTAAAAAAAAAGAAGGAATGTTCATTTTCATCTAATTCAGAAATGTGAACATTCTAATTATTTTGATTCAAGAAACTGCTCCTTAAAAATAAAACACAAAACAAATGAAACAAAATCAATCCTTTCCCTTTTCTACAGTCCACCTATTTCTCTCTCTGGAATGTTTTGAGATATTGCTAAAGATGGAATAAAAATTCTTCCCTTTTCCAAAATAAATATTCAAAAGTAACATGAGGAAAAAAAAAAAAGATCTTAAATGTTTCTTCACAGACATCAAAGAAAAAAATAACAACTAAGAAAGATCAGTTCCACCTAAAATTGACAGAATTTGTGTTTGCAAACCCCTATCACAAAGTAAGTGTGAATTTAAAAATAAAACAAGCTTAATCATATATGATATTCAAGAATAAGTCCTTCTCATCCCCAAAGAAAAACAACTGAATTCTTTAAAAAGTACATAATGGTAGCTCTATTATGTTTAATTTAAAGGAAGAAAAAGTAATCTAATCTTACAGAAATAATCAAGCTGAGGGGGATAAAGTAACTTAATGCCTCAGGGAATCAATACAAGCAAATTCACTGAAAAGGCACAAGTAAAATTAAGGAGAAAAACCCCCAAAGCACAAAACTAGATGTAAATGAACAATGGTTTGGGACAATTTGAAGATATATATATATATCTATATATAAGAAAAAAAAAGGGTACTTGCCAAAAACCTAATCCAAGAATACTCTGAAAATATAAAAATGTAATTAAATATTACCAGTAAACTGTCATTAGAGACTTATTGTGACATTCATTTTTGTAATCACTCATTTAATCTGTTTAAATTATTTGAATAAAGAGGCAAATTAAAAGTGAAGGTGAGAAATCTGGATATGAGTTACCGATAATATATGACACTGGAAATACTATTTAAATAATAAGGAATAACTATATTGTTGAAATAATAAGGAATAATTACATGATAATCCTGTTCTGTGTTGATTTTCACTATCCCTCATCATCTTTAAGGAATGTGAGGAAAAACTGTATGGGAACTATAGACTGTCAGTGTGGTCAGAGACAGGAATGGGAGGTAGAGTGGTTCAGGAGGGACAATCAAGTATCACCCCAGTAATGCTGGGTGAGAAACACACCTTTTCAACAGGAACTGGCTCAAGCTTGGGTGCAGCAGATGCTCTGAGGAAAAAAAAGAAAAAGGAAGAAAACATGAATTTCTGCAAACTTATTAATGAAAGGAAATGGCAACCCACTCCAGTATCCTTGCCTGAAGAATCCCATGGACAGAGGAGCCTGGTAGGCTACAGTCCATGGGGTCGAAAAGAGTCGGACACAACTAAGCAACTTCACTGTCACCTTATTATGCTAAATCATCAGAATTTATAGTTTCATAATTCATGCTTTTAACTATTCACAATCTACTAATTAGTTCATGAAACTCAAATGCTGTAAGATCCAATAACTCATACACTAAGTATTCAACAGTTCTCTACACATTCAAATGAGGAAAGACAAACACCAATCCTGTTTGCTAATGTACCCATGTTTAACCTTTAAATTAAGGCTATCCCTCACCAAAATGGGTAAAGTAAAATAAACTGACTTTCAGCAGTTCCTGGAACAAACAACTGATCTCTCTGTCCAACAGTATCTGCCTTCTCTCTTATTATCCATGAATATGCCCAAAGGACATGTGGATCTTTGTGTGAAGATAACAAATTCTGGTTGAACTGGCTCACAGAGTATTAATTTTCTATTTATATTTTAAGTGCAGGTTAATGGATCTGTTCTGCTAAAACCAAACTGTAAGTTCTTCCACTAGGCTACAATTTCAGTGAAGGCAATGATCATGGCCTACTTGAGTCTCTCTATCAGCATGGCCTGGCATGTATTAATAACAGGTTATCAGTACTGCGCATAGAAAGAAGACAAAAAGGGAAAGAGGACAAAAATCCATGCACAAAAGTATTCTCGTATACAAATTCATTATTTTTAATCTATGCTTTTTTGTATTATTACTGTCAGTTTGGTTAGCATGGACTAATAGTAACGATAATTGATTTGGAGCAATTATCTCTTATAATCATGACAAATAACCAAAGCAGCAGCAATCATTATCCCCATTCTTCACAGGAGGAACTTCAGAGTTAAAGTAAATTACTTCTAGAATGGAGCTAAAGCAACCATCCTCATGTATGATAATACACTGGCTGCAGTCAAGGACAGTAAATGATTGCAGAGTTCCTAATGATTTAAAGCTATTTTAGGTTTAATAATGTCAGAAGCAGTCTAACTCCTCTTATATCACACTAGACTGAGGATAAGACAGCAAGTGCAGAATTCAAGAAATATAACCACAGTAGGTAAATAATAAGTGATAAATTTTAAGCTGCAAATTATGAGATCATTTTACTTACAGAGAAGCTAACATAAGATATTTGGTCTCTACAGTCATAGCCTAGTAGTGAACTCTGATCAGCATTTTTAGGAGCAACTGAATTTTCCAATAACAACTAATTTAGTTAGCCAGGGCAAGCATGGACTGAATAATTGGCTAACATAATGAGAGACCACAATGGATGCTAACATTCGGTTACTGCTATGTAGAATTACACTCTAAATTGCACAACTTTCCATGTGTGCTATCAATCAGACAATTTTTCTTTTAGCTTATAGGGTTATTATAACAAGCAAAGGAAACAAGTTCAAGAACAGAACAGTGGAATCTTTCTTTCATTGAAATTTCACAGTAAGATGCAATGACAAAGGATCTACTTATCAAAACCACCCAAGACACAATTGAAATTTTGCCGTAACAGAGAGGACAGAATCCTTTTTCATCTGGACACTTAAAGGTATATGCAGCTCTTCTATTAACACAAAAACAACATACACAAAAGATGATGTTTAACCTGAACAGAATAAAGTGGTTTCCAAGAAGAATAAAATGCATATATCCTATGTCTATGAAAACAAACCCCTTAGTTTTTTTCTGGGTGTTAGTTCTTACTTGAATAGCGTTAGCAACAACAAAAACCCCAGAATGGTGAGTTTTCACTAACTCTATGGAGTCCAACCTCTTAATCTGTTGAGAACTTACAGAACAACGAGTCTTACCATATTTTATGGACTGAAAGTTCTACAAAACTATTTCTTAAAATACAGGATTCACAAAAAAATTTAAACTGAATTTTTAATATCTGGCCTGCTCACCTTCTGATAAAGGCCCACAAGGACAATGACATGAAATAAGAAAAGCAGTCAAAGAAAAGAGGAAAACCTGTCCTCAAAATTCCAGGATTGAGTCTATTACACATGAAAATCACAAGCATTATGTTGTAGGTAGAAAAAAAAAAAGACTGGCTTATAATTAAATATCAAATGAAAGAGCTGACACTACATGCAATAAAAATTAGTTATGCTGGTTTAAATACTTAAATAATTACCAAATGAATCACAGAATCATTAAAACTTAGAAGGCTCCTTGAAGTGAAATGTAAGTCGCTCAGTCACGTCCAACTCTTTGCAACCCCATGGACTATACATGGAATTCTCCAGGATAGAATACTGGAATGGGTAGCCTTTCCCTTCTCCAGGGGATCTTCCCGATCCAGGGACCAAACCCAGGTTTCACGCATTGCAGGTGGATTCTTTACCAGCTGATCCACAAGGGAAGCCCAAGAATACTGGAGTGGGCAGACTATCCCTTCTCCAGAGGATCTTCCTGACTCAAGAATCGAACCAGGGTCTCCTGCATTGCAGGCAGATTCTTTATCAACTGATCTATCAAGGAAGCCTTAGAGTTACTCTATCACATGCCAATCAGATATATGTTTGACCTCTGTTTGAATATTTACAGGAGCTCACAGTTTAAGCCATGTAATTTTTGAATATTTCTGTTAAAATGGTCTTCATTTTAGTACATTATTTTTTAATAAACAGAACAAGTCAACCTGCCCACATTAAAAATATTAGGAAAAGCATTTTTAATGCACAGAATACAAATATAAAATTTGTAACATACACAAGTTACATTTTTAAAGATCAATAGGGTACATAAATCTTACATTTAGGTGTGATTACACACCCTTACAACACTAAAACTATTGTGGGTTGGGAAATTTTGAAAGCATGACAAATGAAATCTTAAAAATTAATGAATAGCAATAACACCAGTTTTTTAAAAAATCAAACTTCATTGTAACAAAATGGCCAAATAAAAAGATACAATATCTTTTATTTTCAATAGTGTCAAGATTTTTAAACATATTATACATAATGTTTGTGAGGATACTCTGTTATTTGTTGGAAGGATGACACATTATTACAGCTCTTATGGAAAATAATTTGGCATTTATTTATAAAAAGACTTGAAGAAATCTCAAGCCCCTTGACTTATTAAATCAATTTCTTTGAGCCTATCATAAGGAACTAATCTAAAATAAGAAAATGACTTTATGGATAAATATATCCATTCCTTACATTGTATAGGAGGCAGTGATCAAGACCTTCCCACAAGAAAATGAAATTCAAAATGGCAAAACGGCCATCTGAGGAGGCCTTACAAATAGCTGAGAAAAGAAGAGAAGCAAAAGGCAAAGGAGAAAAGGAACACCCACTTGAATGCAGAGTTCCAAAGAATAGCAAGGAGAGATAAGAAAGCCTTCGTCTGTGATCAATGCAAAGAAATAGAGGAAAACAATAGAATGGGAAAGACCAGAGATCTCTTCAAGAAAATTAGATATACCAAGGGAACATTTCATGCAAAGATGGGCACAATAAAGGACAGAAATGATATAATAGAAGCAGAAGATATTGAGAAGAGATTGTAAGAATACACAGAAGAATTGTACAAAAAAGAACTTCATGACCCAGATAACCACAATGGTGTGATCACTCACCTAGAACGAGACATCCTGGAAAACAAGGTCAAGTGGGCCTTAGAAAGATTCACTATGAACAAAGCTAGTGGGGGTGATGGAATTCCAGTTGAGCTATTTCAAATCCTAAAAGATGATGCTGTGAAAGTGCTGCACTCAATATGCCAGAAAATTTGGAAATCTCAGTAGTGGCCACAGACTGGAAAAGGTCAGTTTTCATTCCAATCCCAAAGAAAGGCAATGCCAAGCAATGCTCAGACTACTGTACAATTGAACTCATCTCAGACGCTGGTAAAGTAATGCTCAAAATTCTCCAAGCCAGGCTTCAAGAGTAACTGAACTGAAAACTTCCAGATGTTAAGCTAGATTTAGAAAAGGCAGAGGAATCAGAGATCAAATTGCCAACATCCGATGGATCACTGAAAAAGAAAGATTTCCAGAAAAACACCTACTTCTGCTTTATTGACTATGCCAAAGCCTTTGACTGTGTGGATCACAATAAACTGTGTAAAATTCTTCAAGAGATGGGAATACCACACCATCCGACCTGCCTCCTGAGAAATCTGTATGCAGGTCAGGAAGCAACAGCTAGAACTGGACATGGAACAACAGACTGGTTCCAAATTGGGAAAGGAATATGTCAAGGCTGTATACTGTCACCCTGCTTATTTAACCTATATGCAGAGTGAAAGTGAAAGTCACTCAGTCGTGTCCAACTCTTTGCAATCCCATGGACTATACGGTCCACGGAATTCTCCAGGCCAGAATACTGGAGTGGGTAGCCTTTTCCTTCTCCAGAGGATCTTTCCAAACTGAGGGATCGAACCCAGGTCTCCTGCATTGCAGGCGGATTCTTTACCAGGTGAGCCACAAGGGAAACGCAAGAATACTGGAGTGGGTAGCCTATCCCTTCTCCAGCAGATCTTCTCGACCCAGGAATAGAACCAGGGTCTCCTGCATTGCAGGCAGATTTTTTACCAACTGAGCAATCAGGGTACATCACGGGAAATGTCAGGCTGGATGAACACAAGGTGGAATGAAGATTGCCGGGAGAAATATTAATAACCTCAGATATGCAGACAACACCTCCCTGATGGCAGAAAGCAAAGAAGAACTAAAGAGCCTCTTGATCAAAGTGAAAGAGGACAGTGAAAAAGTTGGCTTAAAACTCAACATCCAGAAAACTAAGATAATGACATCCAGTTCCATCACTTCATGTCAAATGGATGGGAAAACAACAGTAGCAGTGAGAGACTTTATTTTGGGGGGCTCCAAAATCACTGCAGATGGTGATTGCAG